AACAACAACAACAACAACAACAACAACAAGGACATCAACAACAACAACAACAACAACAACAACAACAGCAACAAGGACATCAACAACAAGGACTCCGACAACAGCAACAGGGACTCCGACAACAGCAGCAGCGCACACAGCTGTCACATAGTTAGACAACACTTTCTACTAAGCCACACACAACTTGCCTGACGTGTCAGCTGATGGACCTTCTCCAGCCCAAACCAGAAGTTTCCAGACAGGTCTCCGAAACCGTTCTTGTAGTCCTCCCAGCCCCGGAAAAAGTCCACGTCGGCCGAGGCACGTCGCTGTAGACAGAAGAGAACAGTATAGCCATTTTGTGAGACTTGTTGTGATGGAGCATGCTGGATCACAAAGTTACAGTAATCTCATCTGTGCTCATTTGTGGTTGTCTAGAATTTTGAAAATAAAGTTTTGCTTTTGACGATAATTAAAATAACCACATGTCTTTTAACAGTCACTAAAGTAGGAGGGTTGTGCTTTGGTCTAAAACCATCTGTAGCGCGTAGATATGCGCTGTATTAATGCAATTCATTATTACCATTATTACTATCATTATTGCTACAAGATACGTGGGTGATATAATATAGCGATAGGAAATTGCAAGATAAAATTATGTTTGTAGTGCAGTTTTTGAAGGTTGGATGAAGGTTGGATGAAAGCCCCGCTCAGCCTGTTTGCTGCACCCAACTGAAGCCAGGGCGAGAGCATTATTGTATGACCTGCAGTGTGGTAAGAAAGAGCTGCCGCTCTGTGTTGGATTAAAGTCCTGCTCAGTTCCTGGAGGGGTGCGGGAGGTACAGGTACATTAACTTTGCCATGTTGACAGCAGAATTTGTTTCTCTCTTCTCTCCACATTACGGCATTGCAATGTTCACATATGACTCTGAATTCACCACAGTCATGTGTCAGTAATCTCCGATGTACTTGAGTTTCACTAAAGGACTGTGCGTTGCACGCAAAGGCCAACATTGGCCCCTTCTTTCTTGGCCTAGCACGCTCAATGTCTTCCTCCAGACTCTGACTAATAGAACGTAAATTCTGACTGATAGTCGACTTTTTCTATTTCATCTCGCTTTCACCTGTTTCGGGGGATCAACCAAATTCTACCTTTAGAGAGCATCTTACCACATTGTTAACTAATATTCCATGGGCATCTTTATTCCGAGCAGATCTAGATCTAGATTGCCATCTTGTTGCTAACTACCCCAAATCAGTCTTGAACACTGTGCTCCAAATACATCTAGGACAGAGATCTAGATCTCGAGACTTGCTCTATAAAAAGCTATGCAGAAAATACGCTCTAAATTCTGAAAACGTCAATACAACGAAGTGAACATTTAGTGGGTTTAAACGAACTCAACGTGTTGGGGACATCACTACACCAAAATATCTAGAAAAAGTCAATACAATGAAGCTCGGCCTGAAGTACCCATCGACACTGCCAAGCACACTTCCAAATAGAATATGATATTGAGATCTAGATCTGGAAACAGTAGAAGCAGCTTTGTAAACACGGAGTAGATAGAACTCTCTGGCACAAACACGACAAACCGCAAAACCGTACTTCTGTTCGTGCTAACTGCTCCGAAATCAGTCTTGAATTCTGTGCTCCAAATAAACATAGGAAACAGAGAGACCTAGACTTAAGTCTTGCACTATATAAAAACTACGCGCCAAATACGCGCCAAAGTTTGAAAACGTCAATACAACAAAGTAAACATTTTGTGGCTTTAAACGAACTCAACATGTTGGGGACATGACTACACCAAATGTTTCTAGAAAAGGCCAATACTATGAAGTTTGGCCAGAAGTATCCATCGACACCTCGAAGCACACATGCAAACAGAGCTGGATGTCGAGATTCTAGATCTGGATATAGTAGAAGCAGCAGATCCAGTCGCACACACACGACGAAGCACACATGCAAACAGAGCTGGATGTCGAGATTCTAGATCTGGATATAGTAGAAGCAGCAGATCCAGTCGCACACACACGACGAAGCACACATGCAAACAGAGCTGGATGTCGAGATTCTAGATCTGG